GATCAAAAGATTTAAAGGTTTTATATCTGAGGCAGATTCGTTGTATCACAATTATAATCAGTTCCACATATGTGGCAATCATCCCTTCTCTGTTTTTGTGTATTTGCCCCTCAAAACAATTAAAATTGTTTTTTGAATAGAAATGCAAAATTCCCTTTAAACAAATGACTAAAGATAGAATGTTTGTTTTGTATGCCAGAAATTTATATATTGAACATAAACTATAACTTGAGACACCAGGAAACATTATGCATGTGAATTGTGGCTGTCATCTTTGTCATCTGCCTATAGAGGCCATTGCCACATTTGTTACTTTGGTTTTTGGTATGCTTCTAAGGATTTCTTTTGACCAAGGAAATGCCATTCACCAAAGAGAAAAATAATTCTCTCTGCCTTACCCTTGCATTTGAGTAATCCCCAGAGTATTTTGGGGGAAAGATAGTTATATATTGTTGTGTTCAGAATCAACAAACAGAAATATCCTGTAATTTATGTTATTTTGTTTTATAGCACACTTTGCTCTTATAAATGTCTTGACATTTTATAGAACGTTTTTGTGGATGGAACCTTGATAGTTTTATGCTGTAGGAATTGTTTCCTTTGGAAAAATTTATATTTACACCTTTGAACGTTTAAGCTAGAACACGTCCACCAAACTCACCACTGAAGCTGTCCATTCCAGGCATCATTTGCCTCAGAATCTCATTCAGAAGTGCATAAATATTAGATAAAAACCTGTTTTCTCAGTGTTCCCTGGTAATATTATTGAAGTGAGCATGAATTTTTGTGTCTCTGGTTATATAATTTGTCTCCTAAGTGAAACTCAACTCTGTGAAGTCTGGAAGGAAACCCTGGCAACAATGGTGGCTTCATCATGTCTGACTGGGAGCCGCAGAGTGCCTTCTGTTTGAAGGGGCCTCTCGGAAGCAGCAATTGCATAGCACGCCTGCTGCTTTTTACCTCAGCTGTGTGCTGCAGAGTGGTATAAATATGATAAATATAAATAGCTAAAGAAATTCTCTTTTTTTTCCACCCGAATATACAAGCTGGTGTCTAGGACTGATCTTTAGGGTTTGAACCACAATCCAAGTTGAATTAATAAGAATGGAGCCTCAGCCTGGGCATGGTGGCTCATACCTGTAATCCCAACACTTTGGGAGGTCGCGGTGGGTGGATCACAAGGTCAGGAGTTTGAGACCAGCCTGACCAACGTGGCGAAACCCCATCTCTACTAAAAATACAGAAGTTAGCTGTGCGTGGTGGCACGCACCTGTAATCCCAGCTACTCAGGAGCTTGAGGCAGGAGAAATTGCTTGAACCTGGGAGGCAGAGGTTGTAGTGAGCCGAGACTGCACCACTGCACCCCAGCCTGGACACCTGGGCGACAGAGCAAGATTCTGTCTCAAAAAAAGAAAAAAAAATGGAGCTTCTGTTCATATAAGTGGTAACCTTATGGGTTTATGAAACATAATCTATTTTCTCCTTTTTCCAGTAGTTTTCTTTACAAGTTAAATTGGTCACTTTCAGCACCTGCTTCCGTGGCTTGGCTTTCTATTCACTGAATGTTAATTTAGTTTAAAAATATATTCAATAGACACCTAAATTAAAACTTTTATGCCAGCATAATTGTAATTAGTTTTATAAATATTAGTTTGTGTAATTTAACTCTCACCGGGCCTCAGTGAGATGATAACTTCTGTTGTCCTCATTTTGTAGATGTGGAAACTGAGGCACGGAGAGGTTATATAACATACTGGCTCATGGTCTAACAGCGAATAAGTGGAATAGGTAGACTTGAGACCTACGTGGTTTTGTTGAAGGGTCTGTGCTCTCAACCGGCTTTGCTGTGTGATTTATAATCGTTTGACTTGGGGGCAGGCGGGGATCACAGAGATGAGAGAGCTAAGTCTCCACAGGCCTCCTCCTACCCCGCTCTGTACCATCACCGACTCCAATGATGTGGCTACTTCTGAAGAATAAACTGTGTTAGGGTTGGAGGCGGGAGGGTGAGCAGGGCACACACTTGCTTTTGATTTATTTATGCTATACTGTTTGCAGTACTTTTATACAATGAACTTGTCTGACATTTGTAGTTATAGTTTTAAAAATAAGGTTCTTTGAAAAAAAATCTTTTGACATATGCTTAGCTTCAAATTTTAGAAAGGCATGTTCTAAATATAAAGAGGCCTAAAAAAATTAAAAAGTTTACCAGAGAGCATTTTTTTTTTTGACTCAACTTGCAGCATTAGAGTATTCTGTGATATAACTTAACACTTCTTCCATCTTCAAGGGCTTTCAGCAAGTCTCAGTTCACGGGAAGATTTGACATTACAGTCGAAATTGAGACAGTTTTGTTCCCATTATTATATCTAACCTGTGAAATGAAATATTTGAGATGTGTTTTATTAAAATATATATGTTTTGGGCCAGGTGTGCTGGTTCATGCCTATAATCCTAGTACTTTGTGAGGCCTAGGCAGGTGGACTGCCTGAGGTCAGGAGTTCAAGACCAGCTTGGGCAACGTGGTGAAACGCCATCTCTATTAAAAACACAAAAATTAGTCACGTGTGATGGTACATGCCTGTGATCCCAGCCGCTTGGGAGACTGAGACAAGAGAATCGCTTGAACCCGGGAGGTGGAGGTTGCAATGAGCCAAGATCGTGCCACTGTACTCTAACCTGGAGAAAGAATGTTACTCCATCTCAAATAATAATAATAATAATGATAAAACATACATGTTTTGGATCTAAAAACACGTGCTTTTACTCAGTGGAGAAGTGAGAGATGAGTAAAAACCCCAGCAACTGAATTGTTGCCATGAAAGAAACACTAGGCAGGGGAGAAGCTTATTTAATTTATCATTCTTTCTGTTGTGTTAGTTCTAAGTGGTGTATACGCAGTATGTTTTTAAGAATTGACTTGCATCATATATAATCACTGCATAAGTCTCATGAGGTTAATATTAACCTTGAAAACCCAATATATAACCAACTGGTGGGCCCTTAGCAGCTCAGAAGTCAACAATTAACTTCTTTGGATTAATACATCTTTGAGGCAGTGTAGTGCAGTGGTTAACATGCCTAGTTTGAATCCCAGCTGTACCTCTTACTAACCTTGGATATGTTATTGAAATACTCTACCTTAGTTCCTAAATCTGTAAAATGGCAATATTTACCTCATTGTGTTCTTGTTTTGACTAAATGAGTCAATACAGTATAAACAAAATGCTTACTACTTTTTACATAGCAAATGAAGATGAAATATTAGTGATTCTTACTAGTATTAGCTTTGTCTTTGTATTTTGACTTCTGTCTCATTTCTTTTGGGGTGGTAAAGGCCAGGTCTGGTTTGAGGAGGCTGGGGAATATAGAGGAAGAAATAAATAAAAGAGAAATGGGGTCAGGTATGGTGGCTCACACCTGTAATCTCAGCACCTTGGAAGGCCAAGGCAGGAGAAGCATTTGAGCTGAGGAGTGTGAGACCAGCCTGGGCAACATGGTGAAACTCCATCTCTACCAAAAATACAGCAGTTAGCTGAATGTGGTGGCTCATGCCTGTAATCCCAGTACTTTGGGAGGCCTAGGCAGGTAGACTGCCTGAGGCCAGGAGTTCAAGACCAGCTTGGGCAACATCGTGAAATGCCATCTCTATTAAAATCCCAGGTCCTTGAGAGGCTGAGGCAGGAAGATCGCTTGAGCCCTGATGGTTGAGGTTGCATTGAGCCATGAGAGCGGCACTGCACTCCAGCCTGGGCCACAGTGCAAGATCTTGTCTCAAAACAAAAACAAGATAATTGAGGAAGGAGGGCAGGAAATACATACGTTGAATTCTACTAGCCTGTTGACAGACTGTTTGAGAGAAAAATAATCAGCATGAAAACTTATGCTCTTCGTGTGTGTGTATGTATTTGCGTATGTGTGTATTTAGTTTTAAGCTAGAGCTGGATCTTGCATTCAACCTCCATTCATACGGCCAGCTTTTTAAAACATCCACATTAATGGTGATGATCAGTGGTTTACAATAATCTGCAAGTCACCCACATTTTCAAAGGTGTGTTTAAACATGGGGGTATTGTCCATGCTGGAATTCCTGTCTGTCTTTGAAACAAAGAATGAGGCCCCATTGAGAGGCCCCAGCCAGAGAGGAACTGCAGATTGCTTCATCCTCTCTCTCTGTTCACTTTTCCAAGCTGCCCTTTGGCCTCTTATGAAATTGGTTGTTTGTACTGGCCTGGGGCTGCGTAAGTTAGTTTGGTTTAAGAGGCCTTTACTGTTTTGGGAAAGAAACCTTAGATCTTTTCTTCCAACCAATAAAGATGTACACAACAAGAGCTCAGACCATTGTGGCCAAAAGGCCTCGTAAATATGGGAGGTGATGATGACCACCAAAGGATTGAATAGTCACAGATCTCTCTCTTTCTCTCTCTCTCTCTCTCTCTCTCTGGACCTTGCTGGAATGTGCTGCTTATATGGTTGCTACTGATAAGTAGCAAACCAGGTGTGTGGTTGTAGAGGCCATTAGGCAATTATGTCAGGACTAATTCTTTGCAAGAACTCTGTGTGTTCACATTCTTCTCTGCCTTGGGCCCCAAGAACAGCAACTTGCATTCTGATGTCACAGAGGAAGAAAATACATGCATTGACCCTTAAGTTTGGCTCTGAATGGCCCTTGCTGGGGTGACATGGGTTCCCCAGTGGTATTCAGAGCCATTTAAAAAGAGGTCAGGGCCGGGCGTGGTGGCTCACACTTGTAATCCCAGCACTTTGGGAGGCCGAGGTGGGTGGATCATGAGGTCAGGAGCATCCTGGCTAACACAGTGAAACCCCGTCTCTACTAAAAATACAAAAAGTTAGCCGGGTGTGGTGGTGTACACCTGTAGTCCCAGTTATTCGGGAGGTTGAGGCAGGAGAATTGCTTGAACCCGGGAGGTGGATGTTGCAGTGAGCCCAGATAGTGCCACTGCACTCTAGCCTTGGTGACAGAGTGAGACTCTGTCTCTAAATAAATAAATAAGGTCAAACGGGGCACACAGGAGCACAGCAGCCCGTGTGACCATCTAGGCCTCGCCCTGGAGGCCCCACCCCTGCCTTCTTTTTGGGTAAGGCCTAATATGGTTGTCTACCTGCCAAGCCCTCCTTTCCTCAAAGAAAGAGCGTTTTTGCTGGGTTTTCACAAACCTGCTGTCTAGCCGTGCGCTGTTTGTTCCTTGATCTGGTGGTTGGGGCTGCACTGGTTACATTTGGGTAGGTAGACAGACCCCTCATAGTGTGAAGGGGAGGAAAGGGCAGCCACCTAAACTGCCTAAGAAGAACGTTGCCTAATCCTAAGTGTTTCAGAAACTTATAATTTTTAGTTAAGGTAAAACTCAGATTGAATTCCCCCTTGAACCTTTTTGCATTTGATAAGAGTTTTATTTCCTAAAACTGACAGCAATGACAGTTGTGTTGGATTTCAGCCCTGAGTATTTATTTCTAGATTTAACAATTTGTTTTGTCTTCGTAGCAAGCAATTGCCTTCCTTCCTTTCTCTCTTCCTCTGTGTGTGTCTCTCTCTCCCCTTCCTTTCTTTGCAATTTCCTTCCTTTCTCAAGCTCATGATGAAAATTGACCCTTCAGTTTTGTTTTCAGATGAAAGCTCGAGCAGCAAGCCGGCGCTTGCCTCCATTAGTGGCTGTGGGTAGTCCTTGCAGGAGACATCACCGTCAGCAAATCATCATCCATTTAGAGTGGGCTGCAGAGGCTAGGCAGCTCCCTGACTTCACTCTCCGGGAGCCTCTTACAAATAGGCAAGGAGTGGCCCTGGTACAAGTGCCATTCAGCGAGGCACTGGAGGTGCGTTTTGCTGTGTTGTGGTACCTGATGAACAGCATATGGTGGTTGGGTACCTTGCACCCAGGCTAGAAGGTTAACTTCCATTAAGCTTTATTCAACCCTGCGTCACAGAAGTGGTGGGTATGTGTTTGTGTGTCTCTGTGTGTATATGGTTGATACGGCTAGAGGCTTAGCTGTCCATCATCAAAAAGTTTCTTAAAGGGACCTTATGATGAACCACATGGAATTTGTAACTTGATCACAAAATTTGGACCATTAAAGGACCTGAAAATAACGCTTCAGTTTTGTAGGTCACACCTTTCTCTAAGCTCAGTTAATGAGCAAATCCTTATTCTTTACAAGATTAGCCAGGTGTATTTGGTGAATGTTAACTTTAGCCTTGGCTGCTTAGCCCTGCTGCTAATGAGGCCAAAGTGGGAATTCCTGCCTCTTGTGGACCAGTTACCTTCACTCTCTTTCCTGGCCACCGACCACTAACCCTCGCCAGCTGGCTTGTAATGTCTGCAGTTGGATGTTGGAGTGCGGGGAGCAGGGGAAGGTGTTGTGTGGATTTGTGCAAATCCATGACCGCTCCTGGGGAAAAGCTGCACACACATACTTCACCGAACAAGGGTCAAGTGCGTTGTCTCCACTTTTGAAAGGCAATAGAGTTGATTAAGGTTAACTGGAAAATGCTGATGTGGGCTAGAATTTTGGACTTTTGCCAGGATATATGCAACATTTAAAGTGATTCCTGGAAACCTGTGCCCATGGTTCACTGGTAGAAGAACTTAGGAAGAATAAAACAGTGGAAACCAACAAGGAGAGTGTGATTACCTTTAAATATGCAGCAACAAAAGGGACATAACAATAGCTTAAAAATATGTTTTCTAGGAAAGTAATATTTTTGAAAATCTTAAGATGGCTTACATCATATTTCGGTTGTAGGTTCTTGGTTCCTACCTATTGCCAAAATGAGATATATAGGTTCCATTTATATTATAGCTATTTATTAAGGAATTGCATGTTAAATAGAAATCTTGCAGTTACTGAAAACTTAGGGTTTTAAACAAACATTGAGGAGTATATAATGTTCTAGAAGATAAATATTTGTAAACAGTTCAGTCCTTCAACATGTGTATTTTTAAAAACAAACAAAACCCCATCAATATTTACCCTAAGTGTAATTTGCAAAGTAATTCGCAAAGTAAAATGAGAGTAATTTGGAAATCTTATGTAACTCTGATTCATTTATTTTCATAGGATGGATTTACGTTTTGGAATGATAAATGTACAATAAAGAGCTGTTAGAAAAACCATTATTTCTCTTAGATTTCGGAAATTCTAACATGGCTTTGTTACATATCACTATTTCCCAAAGAAAAGAAAATTAGACCCAGAAAAATTGTGACTGACCCAAAGTCACTTACTCAGCTAGAAAGTAGCCATGCTTTGGGGAAAACCAATCCTCCTGTCCTGATGGTATTTTCATGACAGCATGCTGATTATTTTGGGGTGCATATGTGCACATGTACATGTATAAATAAAATGGTTATTTTTAATTAATTTTTTTTAACTACCATGGTCCTGGGTAAAATTGCTGTTTTGCTTCCTTTTAGCAAATTGAATACAAACCTGGTGACTTGGAAATACCATTTTCTTTCTCATCCTTTCAGGAAGCAAATTCAGCCCATTGCTTTACAGTCTTAATTTTTTTATGTCTCTAGATACAGGATTGACTTTGTCTTTTCTTTGCCTTGTAAGCTGTTTAGAGCAAGGTAAGATTACAGTCATAAGCTGAATCTGGGAAAAAAAAAAAAACCCTATTATCTTTCTTGATTAACCTCATTGCCTTGAAAAAAACTGTTAACCAAGTTTCACTTAATCATATGGTAACTTACAACTGTTGTGATTTGTAAAATACATGACGATTTGGTCTTGTCTCCTTTGTCTTTCTTTCCTCTTCGTGATCGAATTCTGCTTATTTTAATGCATGACCAGCCCACTGTGTTATTTTTCAGAAAGACTACCCCACATATAAAATGCAGTGGTCTTTAAATGTCTTTGGCTTTGAAAGATTGTTTAGCCATTGCTTCCCAAATGTTTCAGGTTTGGATTTCGTAAACGAATATTTTTGCCATTGGTGCCACTGCAGATACTCTCATCTTCCTTTTTTCTTTTAATTTGATCAAACTTTACTTGTAGTACTTCTGTGATCAGCAGAGTCTGTCTAGTCTTTCCTGCTTTTTCTTTTTTTTGCTCCAGATTTTCCTTTGTAACTTTCCTTTGATATATCTTTAAGGAAAGTCAAAGTGGAAATATGTGTAATTGACCAATGCTATAGCAGTTTAAAGATGATATAAATTATTAAAAGAAGTAAATAGAAGATATTTTGTAACTGGATTTATATGATAAAATATTTCTAACATATAAAAAGACAAATTTTTATTTATATCTTTTAATTACTTACATCTTTTCAAAACTGCTACGGCATTGTTCACTTGTTTGTATTTCAGCTCTGATTTTCCTAAAAAACATAGAAAAGGAAAGTAATATAAATACACACATATATGTGTATATATGTGTATACACACAGATGCACAGTATATAGTAAATAAGAGAATTTCGTATCTTTACAAATATATTCAAAAGAGAACCACTTCAAACGCATGGGTTTTACTGAAGATCGCTTCTACCTTTATGTGGTGGTCTAAGGTTTCTGTCACTTTCTTTGTTAGTTGTATTTGAAAGCAGGTGAGTAAACCAGAAAGAAATGATTCAGTCTGCCTGCTCCAGGCACAGAATTAGGGAAATATAGGCATGCAGCTCTCAGGCGTTCTGTGAGCCTGCTTATCCACTTTGTTTTGAGGCAGAAACTGGGTAATGTCAACTCAAGCTTTGTTTGACCACATCTGCTTCCACGGCTAGCTGAGAGCTGCATAGATGTCACTTGTCACACACACCCTTGGATCTGAGCTGCTTAAGGGCGTTACCACACATCACAGCTTAGTGCTGTGGTTCAGCGTGGCCGGGTGGCTAACCAGGACTTGGTGTCAACCACATTTGGGGTGATGAGGACACTTGGAGGACACAGAGCCACCGTGCAGCAGGAGTCGCCACTGTTAACAACCAGAGGGATTGGTGCCCATTTTGCCCCAATCCTCCTCAATCCCTTTTCAAGTGGAAATTTTGCAAGTCGACTTCTGCAGCATGCGTAGTATAATTTGGCTGACAGCAGTTTCTGGCAAAAGAAATAACCAAATTATTATTCAGTCATGGGTTTTTAACAGCCGCAAAGCAAGTGGATGTTAACTAAATGATGCAATTTATTCCCTTCCCTCTTATTGCCAGCTTGCCTATTACAGAGCGACTGCCAGTTTTCAATAAGTGGTACCCAGATGGTATTCGCATGCCGCCCACTTGGTTACAGAGCCGAAGCGGGGAATAACTCGGCAGACACTACAAGCTGTGGGTCAATTGAGGGGGAATGCCTGTTGCTTCACAGTTTTGCATATGTAAATCTGTTAATGTTATGTCAGTATTGTGCGGGCTAAACACAAGCATTGCCTTTCTCTGGGGGCCCAGCTGAACTTGGACCACAGCCCAGTTATACCGAGACTCGGAGAGCGAAGCTGCAGTTTGAGGATGCTGCACCGCCTGCTCCCCTCCACTCCTGCCTCCATGTTCTTGTGTTATCTGCAGCCCAAGCTGGATGCAGGAAGTGTCTGCCATAGGCTGACTCCATAATAGGACAGGCAGGCCGGGTTTTATGAGCTGGCTGCGGAGGGAGGAGTGTGAGTATGTGTCTATTTTTAGGCCAGCGTTCAAGACAGTTCCTTTGGCCCAGCCTGCGCCTGCCTGCCTCGCTCACACTCTCCTCTGTGTGTCTGCCACACTTCTGCTCTCCATTTCATCAACTGCAGATGTGGCACACAGCCGTCTTAGAAAAGTCATGAACTGTGTCGTCTGTGCGGCTTAACAGCCAACATCTGCTGCAGCAGGCTGAAGGAAGAGGCAGGGAAGTCGTTTTCGGGAATGCATTCAAGTGCCTCGACTTAGCCTCTGCTTTGGCCTGTGCAGACAATTATTTTACACTAATTGCATCAAGATAGCAGCTATAAAAACAAGATTTCAATCGCTCTGCTCCCCCACCCCTCTTGTGAAAGTTGCAGTTACAGAGGGGTAGTTCTTTTTTCTTTTTATTGTGGTTTGTTTCTTGTTCTCAAAAGCTTATTACATTGGGTGCAAACAACAACAAAAATGCCATAAAAAGCCAAGAATTGTAATATGCTTAAGAGCTAAAAAGACCTATGGTGTTGATTTAACCAATGAAAATATTCCTGCAGGTATTGTAAAATTTATGTGCCATATGAAAAACATTAAGGGTGGTGTTTGTTCACGGAGGAAAATGTTCATTGTTGAGCCATTTTGTAAATTATTTTAATGCTGCATTTCTGCTCAAACCTCATGATTTTGATATATAAGGCAGTTTAATGTTTTCTGTACAAACCCTGGCTTTTCTTAATTTTTATGTATTGGAAAGCCCATGTTTGTATTGGAAACTGCTGGTTTCTTTCATATTGAAAATCTGTCTTGCGTGGCGTGGTGCCATGTGGCAAAGGAGTAGTTTGACCAGAGTCAAACCTTGAGTGTTGACTCTTGAGTCCTAAAAACTAGGCAAGACCATGTGAATAAATATCTAGAAGGTGTTTTTTGGTTTGTTTTGAAACCAGGAGTCTTTAGACAACAGTAAGAATAGCATCCCAGCAGTACAGTGCGGACTTCCTAATGCATTGGTCTGTTTGCAACTTTTCATCTTGTAACAGAGGCAACATTGTGTTCAGTATCTGAGCCTTAACTTTTTTTTTTAATGCTCTCAGAGTAAATTCTGGTGAAATACGCATTCCAGCATCTCGGATTCTCTTGAAAGATTTGTTTCTGTGACATTTTGCTGTATCTGTTGTGCAGCTAGAGTAGCATGCTTCTCTCCTCACATTTCAAGTCTCTAGACTTTGTTCTGA